TTTAGCATTAGCATGGATAAGAGAATGGATAAATCTGAATAATAAAAGGATCTTATTATTAGAAGGTCATGATTTGCAGATAGGATGGCATGTCTTCATTTGGGAAAAGAAGAATAAAACACACTCATATTTCCATAGACATCAAATGAGAGATGCACTTATACAGGTCTGTGGGAGAATTTAAAAAATCATTACCATAAAATACCCGGTTGGCTATCAACCATGGAGGCGATGATCTATCCAACAACATTGGACTTAGATAAAATGGTAAGATATAGTGAACTGTTAGACAACCAAGGAAGGCTCAAAACAAATAAAGAATTGAGAGATGAAGGAATAAACATAGATTGGTGGCCATATTTACAATTGCAAGTGAGGTATAAAAAAGATTTAGAAGAGTACAGCTTTGATAAAGAATGACAACAATTGGATAAAATATATTAGGATCGGAAGAGAAATTCATAACAAAAATATATAATTATTTAAGAGTTAAAATGGAAGAAGAAATAGTTAAAGGGTCCATGATAGCTTGGCCAAGGAATTTTGGGTATAATATCCAAATAGAATGGGAATATCGAATGGGAAAACCTATGGACAAAAAATTATAAATTAACAATGTCCACTGCCTACAAGGAGAACCTCTACAAAATGTTTTATCATTGGCATTTACTACCAGCAAGCCTGGTGAAGATGTAACCAAATATGAGTCCAGAATGTTGGAAATGTAAACAAAAACAGGGTACTTTTTTCATATTGGTGGTCATGCCCTGAAACTAAGAAATATTGGGTAAAGATCAAAAAATGGTTACAGGAAATAACAAGTCTTCAAATTGAGCTTAAACCTTAACTTTTCTTATTAGGAATAATAAGAGGAGAATTCAGTAAAAAAGTTAAATATATTATATTGCATATAGTGACGGCGGCTAGAATTGCCTTTGCACAAAGTTGAAAATTGAACAGCACCCCTTCCGAGGGAATGGTAATAAAAAAAGTATTGGACTATGCAGAGATGGATAAGTTTACTTTAGAATTGAAAGACAGAGAGGAATCGGAATATTACACAGTCTGGGACAAATGGTATAGCTGGTTAGATAGTAAAAATAAGGATTAAATGTATATATACATGTAAATGTACGTCTAACATCAATGTCACAGTGTTGTAAAGAATGTAAAAGAGATTTGTAATTTTGAAAAAGTGCAATAAAAATATAAATTAAAAAAGTAGTTGCAATGAATAATAAACCAGTGGAATATGCCTATCTAATGGATAGTTGCATTTTAACCAGCTGAGACACAAATGACACATGAATAAAGTACATATAGTTATCCTGATACTAAATTTGTAAACTGTAGCCAACCTCATCACAGATGTGAATATAAGAAACTCCATGGAATGCCAAATGCTCTTTAAATAAACTAATGCTTTTTTAACTACATCAAAGTATATTTAAAAAGCATTAAAGCCTGGAAACGTTCTCTTTTAGGAGAGATCCCAAAATCCAATAGAATAGAATAGAGCTAGGTCTTCTAGTCCAGCCCCTGTTCAACCAGGAGAACCTATACCATTTCAGACAAGTGACTGTCTAGTAAGTCTCTTCTTAAAAACCTCCAGGGCTGAAGTGCCCACAATTTCTGAAGGCAAATTGTTCCATTGGTTGTCCTCAATTACTTAGGAAGTTTCTCCTTAATTCCAGATTGCTTCTTTCATTAGTTTCCAACCATTGTTTTGGTGCTTTGGAGAATAATTTGACCCCCTTTTCTTTGCGGCAGCCCCTCATATATTGAAATACTGCTATCATGTCACCCCTAATTCTTCTTTTCTTTAGACTAGCCAAACCCAAAATCTGCAGCTGTTCTTCATATGGTTTAGTCTCCAGACCTTTGATCATCTTAGTTCTTTGAACTTTTTCCAAGTCTCAAAATCTTGGGCGAAAGATTGTAATGGGTGAAATATTAAAGAGAGATCCAACCTAGAACTAAGGAGAAATTTCCTGACAGTGAGAACAATTAATCCATGGAACAGCTTGCCTCCAGAAATTGTGGGCACTCTGGGGCATGAGTGTCAAAACTGATTGCGAGATTGGACAACTATATGTCCATAATGGTAACAGGTCTTCTGCCCAAGCAGGAGGCTGGACTCCAAAGTTCCATCCAAACTTGTTATTCTATGTTTTGTGTTCTACCTCACAGGTTGTTATTGTGGGGAATTTAGAAGAAAGAAGAGTATTATGTTTGCTCACTGTCTTGAGTTATTTATTAAAAAAATAAAGGCAGTTAAAAAAAAGTAAGCTGAAGGGTTGTTTTTGATTAGGTCAAAGGCACAATGACCTCATGACCAGAGGTTGCCCAGCCCTAAATATGACTGAAACATTCATGCCTTGGAACTTTCCTACCTTGGTGGGGAATGTAAATTGCAGAACCATGATATTTGAGATGTGTGTTCCAATGAAAGTCTAAAATGTGGCAGATATTGACATTAATTTAATAAGCACACACCTCACCAAATTAGATGCTGCCCTAGTGAATGCTGATAACCATATGTAGATAACTTTCTACATTTTCTTGAATACTATAGACCTCTATTGTAATTTTTGCATGAGAACACTGGCATTCCAATTTGAGGCACTTTATTATTGTTTACTGAAGTTTGAAACTGGTAAAGGTTTGTCAAAAGAACATACAAAATATGACAACATTAGTAACAAAAGTAATTACCATAATTTTTCCAGTTCTTTTCATCTAAAAGAAAAGGTTTGAGACATGACAGAACCCTTGGGACAGTTAGAATTCTCACATCACCAAGAGTGGTATGCCTCTTTTCCATCAAAGCGTTTACTAATTATAATTCCATAATTAGTACAATTTAACCAAGAAATTAATTTGCCATACAGGTAGAATCTTCTGAGGTTTTAACAGTAGATAAAATCTGAGAGAATATATAGCAAGAAAATATGGACAAAGCAATACCATAAATCTGTAAGACAGCTGGACTCTTGGGGGGTACTTTGTTTGAACATAAAATCCCTCAGTATCACTGAGAATGATGCATTGACTTAGAAAGCTACCTTTTCTTCCTTCTGACCTTATATATTCCTGGATTGTACATTGGTATGTTAGGCAGATATAAAATATCTTCATTTCCTTATTCTCAGTTTCCTTTTTTTTTAACATTGCTACTTATTGTGCGATGCTACTTTGACTTTCACCTTTGATCATGTAAAGTCATGGTCATATTATTTGTAATTTACAAATAAAATTATTCTGTATTTTAGGATTTGGTAAAAAAAATCTTTCCTGCCATATTTAGTGTGAGAAGCAGGGGACAGCAACAGTAAGAGAGGAGGCTAAATTAGAAAAACCTACTGACACTATGACCATAGATTAATTAAATAAATGTGTATGTAAATGTGCACGGTGGCTTTTCATTGGACACTGCTTATAGTACAATATTTGTTGTTTGTTTCCAAGGTCTCTGTGAAATAAGATTAACAGAGTTTCAGCTCTTCAGAAGAGTTGGAATATGAAAGCAGACATGAGCTGAGTGACGCGAAGGCAAAGAAAGCATAATCTTAGTTAGCAAAGGAGAAAATAATTGATTCGTGAGGCCTGCTCTATATTTAACTATTTGTTATAATTCTATTAAACAAATGTTTCAATAAATACTAACAACAAAGTAACATTAGGCCTGACATTTCTGACCCTACAGAACTGAGCAACTGTCCCTGGGCCAGTTTATTGGGATGACTTCGACATGTAATTTAGAAAATGGTGCATACTGTTGCTTATGAATGCTGAACACAATTTGTCTCTTCTCATTTATGCACATTTGCTTTGGACTTTATGGACTGTTCAGAATAATTGAATGAACAATGCTCTCCTTTATGTTGCCTGGGGTGAACTTCCTTTCCTTGGTGGCTTATTATTGTTAAGAATAACAGTGTAAGGGGAGAATTAAGAAAAACTGTTACTATTGTTTCTCAGATGCAAATACGAATATCCAAACTTTGTGTAAGGTATTCCCTCTATGTTTGCATTATATTTCCCATACTTTCTGAGAATAGTCATCTTCTTTGAAATACACCAGGATTATCAGAATTCCCAACTAATTTAATGTCAGCATTGTATTGGCTGGGAATACTGAGAGCCGTGGTCCCAAAGTATCTTGAGGACACCAAGCATGGATTACCTTCAACCAGTTTGGATTTTTTGGGGTGGGAAGGTGACTCCAAGTCAGGTGCCTGGACAAATCCCTGCATTTTTCTTGGCTAGATTTAGGAAGTGAAGGCTCTTGCCTCTTTCCAAAAGATGAGAGAAAGTGACTGGCCCAAGGTCACCTAGCTGATATCTTGCCTAAGGCAGGAATAGAACTCATGGTCTCCCAGATTCTAGCCTGACGATTTAATCTCAAAACTGGCTGTCTTGGAAATTATAGAGTTAGAAAGTTATAGCAATCCATTCCATTAGTGGAGATTTAATGAATTATCTAAGTATGGAGCTACTTGAATGTCTTGGCTGTGAATGTCTTGGCTGTGAAAAAATGAAATTTCTTTCCAGAAACTCTAGAGCCATTGATGTGGGACTGTGATTGCAACTGCTCCCAGCAGCCCCCTCGTCCTCCATAAAGGATATCTCAAAGTGGCTAAACTCTCACAGAACAAGCTTCCTCAGCATCACAACCTTCCCCTACAGATCATGATTCTTGCTGACATGTTCAGTGAATGAAACTTCATCTCCCGCCCCCCCCCTCCATTGGCTGTCTAAATTATTAACACAGCTATAAAGATGGCACTAAATTATCAACAGAAGGGCAGCATAACAAAATTGCAACATAATCTCTCATTTCACTGCCAGATGTCTGTTCAATGCAGATTTTGCTAAACAGTGGAATAATGGGAGGAGAGAGAGAGAGACTCCTTGGTTGCCTGTGAAAAACCGTTTGTGCAGACACACTTGTGTCTGCATAAAAGAGTGACTGTGTATAAATATACAATGCAGCTTACCTGGGTAAAGAGGGATACTGTCTTTCTATGCCTTCAAACTGGAGGTGATGTGGAGTCTCATCTGGACCCTTTCCAGACACCTGTGGAGAGAAGTATAATGAGTGATGAAGATCAATTATTCAACCCTGTTACTGAAAACTTTTCTCAAAAATGATAATCAAAAACAAATCAGGCTCTAGCATGCCAAAATCAAAAAGAAGAAATTCTGAGGCTCAAAAGAAATCCTGATTTGAACTTATTATTATTTATAACATTTTTCTTTTAAAAAATCCTTATTATTATTCCTTTCCCAAGCCAAAAAAGATGCTGTGAAGTTATATAGAACATAGTTTTGAAAGGAATAAGAAACATATTGCATATAATGAAGCCAGTTATTGATAACCATTCATTATTGGTCATATTAAGATTTGGACCTAAATTAGCTTTATTGAAACTTGTGGGACAGACTATAAAATGAACATGCAAGTATCTGATTATGTTTTCCAGGACATAAAACATGATACTGTCTGTATGGCTGCAACAGAACATTGAACCTTTGTCTTCCAAAATGCTAGAGGAATGTATAATAATTAACAAAATACAAATCTATTCTTCACTTATTTGGCAGAAGTGTTATGAAGAACAAATAAGAAAATAATTATGTTTGTTCACTATTGGGGAAGCATGTATTGTTGTTTTACAACAACCCATCCTCCTGCTCTAAACTGTATGTTTACAGTTTAACAGTAAGTCATTCAACAGAAGAGTAAGTCATTCAACAGAAGTAAAAATCTCTGCTCATCCTGTCATGGCCACTTAAAGTGATTGCATCCCTATCCACACAAGGAAAGTCGACCATTAAATTTAGATGCACAAAACACAAAAGGGTTTTCCCAATTTCACTTGTCCAATTAAAATATGTCTGCAAGAATAATTTACACCTCAACTATATTTTTGCTGTCATTTTCTGCTTGTTCCTCCCTCCCTCCTTGAGCACACACATTGAATACAGTATACTGGCTGTAGATTTCTGGGAGTTAAAGCCCACACATCTTAAAGTTGCCAGTGTTGCGGAACACTGATCTACTGTACAGTATGGGAAGCTAATAAAGCATTTATGAGATGCTTCTTAGTAGAAAATGTGCTTGATTCTTTGCAAGAATGGTTAATTCAGTTAGGGGAGTATGCTTAGATGTCCAAAATAACTTTGCACTTTAAAAGTAAATTTAACACAGAATTTAAATAAAAATAGAACCAATTTCTGGACTAGAACTTAATATTCGGATTTGTACTCATCCATAAATTTGGTAATTTTATGTATATAGTTTATATTTCAATTTCATGGTATACTTATGGCAGAATAGATTCTGACTTAATATATTGTAGCTTATAATTTGATTATTTATATCTTACTGACCACGCTTTCCATTATTTATTCTAGTTTAAAGCTTAATATTGATTGTAGTCATTTAAAGCTATACATGATATTCAGTCATTGATAATTTACTAATGGTATAGTGGAAAACTAATTTTTGGATGTTTTTAATATCCCTTGCCAACAATTTATGATTCATTTATTATTTTTATATGTTTACTCTTTTCTGTTGATATATACTGTGTTTATAAAATATATAAATATAAATAAATAAAACATGCTACATGGCATAATAGAAAACTATGGTTTGGTGCATGGACATCCATGGGGAGAGCAGACAAGGCACAAAATATACACAACATCACAATGCAAACTCAGCCTCTTAAGTACTTGCATGCCATGTCACAATGCAATTACTAAGGAACATAACTTGTGATATCTTAATACATATTTCATCACTTTCTGGTTAAGAATGATCACTTAAGGGACTGATAATCAGGGATTATCACTTTTCTTTGAGTTGCAAGAGGAGATGGGAATTTTTTTTTTTTTTTTTAAACAAATGCAGATTAGATGTTTTGTCTCAACTCAAAACAAATCACAGGTATCCTTTTTATAGTTTAGGACAACTAAAAATGTATTTCCAGATGTGTATGTCCTATTGCCCTTGATTGCTGATAGGAATTGTAAATCAACAATATAAGGGTTGCAAACTGTGGCTAAAAATTCTTTTCTGGATCAGAATTAGAGGTGATATTGAGCAAGTTCTGACCAGTTCTGAAGAACCGGTAGCGGAAATTTTGAGTAATTCAGAGAACCAGCAAATATCATCTCTGACTGGCCCGGCCCCACCCCCATCTATTCTCTGCCTCCCAAATCCCAGCTGATTGGCTGGGTCTTCTTTGTTGCCCTGCACAGGAGAATGAAGCTGGAAAACAGGTTAGTGGGGTGGGGAGGGAATGGGATTTTGCAGTAACCTTCACCCAGGAGTGCGGAAGGAATGGAGATTTTACAGTAACCTTCCCCTACCACGCCCATCAAGCCACGCCCACCAAGCCATGCCATGGCCATCACACCATGCCCACAGAACCAGTAGTAAAAAAATTTGAATCCCAACACTGATCAAAATTAAGATTATCTCTGTGTCTGGACATAAAAAGAAACCATAGCTAACTAAACATAGATTTAGAAGCTTTCAAACCTTTTCTTACATCAGAATAGAAGACAGGAAGGATGGAGGGAGTTTATGGCCCATACATACATACATACATACATACATAAACCATAGTTTGGCATTGTTCAAATCAGACTAATATTTGTGCTGAGAAATCCAAGGAAGAAACCTGAAGTGGAAATGGATATCCGGAGGATCCTTTTCCACAAGACATTCCTGGCTCCTGCTTGTAGCAGCATGGAAATTCCTCCAGGCCCAGCTGAAGAAAGAGAAAGTATCGCAGGAAGGACCTCTTAAATCACCACACAATTTCCCCCTACAGATTTAATTTAAAGAAAAAATAAATTAAAACAAACTATTTTGTGTGGGCCATGGTGACTTAATGAAGCAGTCTTCTAGTCTAGGTTTCTTTCCTATATTAAGTAGGGGGAAAACTTGGATTAGACAAATACCTGGATAAGTGGCTATTCCCACTCCCCTGCAAAACCCCTTTTCATTACAAACCCTGTCATTTGACTTCTTTCTCCAACTCTGTATCTCCACACAGTTTTTCACTTTTTCACTTATTCTTTTAAAATAAGGAGCATACGAACATTAAAAAAAACACCAATTTATGTTTGTTTACCCAAACTAACTTATACTTGCACTATCTTGTTTTATTACAGTTGCTGTTATTCCTTGGGTGGAAGGAGGAGGAGGAGGAGGAGGAGGAGGAGGAATCCCCTTGCCAATCCTATTTGTGTGCTCTAAGATACTGTTGCCATAGAAACTCACTGTGGATACAATTTGTAAAAATTTTGCTCACTACAGCTGTGAGATGCTGTGTTGAGGGGTAAAGTGGCCAGAGAGCTCTAAGGGCAGGGGAAAGCTCTCCATCGTTCCTCCGAGAATCCACCAAGCCCTTCTTTCATTCACCATCTGTCTAGACAAGTGAAGATGTGACCTCAGCAAATCAAGGGGAGAGGGAAGGGGGGAGCTGACCTAATAAAACAAGAAGGGAAAAATGCATTTATGGAGGGAATGGGAAGCATATGCCTGCTTAGTTCTCATCATAGCTACTTGTGCTAATAGATATTTTCATGGGCGTTTTTGAAATCCAAACAGGGTTCTCTCTGAGGTCGAGATCAAGCACACAATAGAAATTAGCATAATGAGATTCTAAACTCATTTTGTTTAGTGATTGTTGCTCTCCTAGCTCCTTCATGGAATGGATTAGCTTAAGGTTTGGCTTTCAATACATGGGAAGAGGCTGCTTATATGTAAAACTAGCTCTATAACCGTGCTTCGCAATGAAACTATGATTGAGCTTAGTTTTTGGGAAGGAAAATAAGGGGGAGGGGAATTGTGCCTCTGCCTACCAGCATCCATCGGTATTCATCTGGCTAGCATCCTGTCAGTGTGAGAGAGTTGAGGGCTGCTTGGAAACTGAAACATGGAAACTGAAACAATATTTGCTGTGTGAGCAAGAAGGAGACAGCAAGGAGCCTGAGTGCGGCTTAGCTCAACTGTTCTCTACTAAAGCTGGTTGCTTCTGTGAAATTAAAACTGAAACTGAAACTCCTCTCCTCTGTGTTTTGCATTTGGAACAGATTTCTTTTCAGGTGGGGAGGGGAAGTAGAACTCCTTAGCATCAGAGCGTGTTAATAATAATATATGAAATACTAATGCTCTGATGGTGATTTTGAAAAATCCTTTCTTAATGAGCACCTAGAAGCCAAGAGAAACATATGTGCCAAATTTCAAGTTTGTAGGCTTTACGGTTCTGGAGATTTTGTGATGATGAACGAGTGGTATTTCACTTTCATATATATAGGTTTTAGTTACAATAGTAAAAACTAATACAAGCCAAACTTATAAAAAGATAAGAGAAAGAATGTGTACTCCTAGAGATTATTCACTTAGGGACTGTCTGAATTCCATGAGAATTTCATGTTGATTGCACACAGCAGCAGCATCAATAAGTTTCTCATTTTTTATAGAAATAGCTGTATTTGTAACATGTATGGGATCATTCAACTTTTCTGTTTAAAAATGACTAGCCACTCTGTTGTACTGAGTGTTGTCACATTCCCAACTGTAAAAGGTGACATTAACCTACTGTCTTCCTTCCAGGATCTCCTTTGTCTTTGTCAGGCACATAAAGACATTTTTTTCAAGCAAAGCTTCACAATTTTCTTTGCTACCCATTCACTTTGCATGGTTTCAAAAGTGGCCCCGATCTCCATTTTTTAGGAATTCTCCTTCCCCCCACAACCAAAGTATCCCCATTTCTAATCAAGCATTGAAAAGAAAAAGCATGAAAAGAAACATGAAACCATAAGTCAATCTTCCACATTTTATCTCCAAGATTATATTTTCTGCCCGAGACATCTATGTGTGCTGGTGTGGGGGAAGCCAAATGTGCAAGAAATGTATAGCTTGCTGTGCCTGTCCAAAGGGGATTAAGTCATGAAGAAAAATAAAGAAGAATAAAATATTTGAGTTTTATCAGACACATTCCAGCCAATTGCATAATATCAGTCATTATCACAAAATCCAGTCTTTCTGAAATG